ATAAATAATTAATGCGATTGGATTGATTCCTGGACACTGAGATATACTTTATTTTAATTTCTGTAATGTATCCATTTTTCATGACACTGAATTAAAAATCCTTATTAAAACCATCACGTTTTGTATAGAATATAATATGCTCTCATTAATATTGGCATTCATTTAAACTGATTATTTTTTTTGTTTTCAGAATCCTTGATTTCTAGTGCAATTCAAGACTGAAAAAACGTTGTATCTTTTCTGTTAATTCACACCAAATAATCTAGTTATCGCAAATATAAATTCACCCCAAGAAATTATAAATTTTAAATCAAAGTTTGTTTTTTTTATTTTTTATTTTATTTTATTTATTTTTTTTTGAAATTATAATTTTTAAATCAAAATTTGTTTAGGTTGCCTCGCAAAAACTCCGTCCCTCAGAATAGAAAATTATCAAAAATCAAAGAGTTCTTCACATTTCAGTGCGGATGATATTCCAGGAACTTACAAGGAATTATTTACAATTTAAAAAAAAAAACGTGAAAAAAAAGTCTGTTTTTGGCTTGTTTATTAGGGTGAGCGGGAACGTTGACCTCTACACATAGAAATAGAGCACTGTAGTGGCCCACATTTGGGGCGATTGCAAAGGTCAACCTAACCGGAGTGCAGTGGAAAGGCCTCGCTAAGTGGGGAATTTGGTGTGAACTTTCATAAACATAAATTCTTTTTATTTTGGGGTGAATTAACAGAAAAAATCCAATACTTTCATTGCATTTCTGTAGTAAAAAAGGTTTACAATGTACATATAATATCGCTATACTAGCATTAAAACTTGCGTTAATTTCTGGTCTATGTAAATTTTTCCGTGGTGACAATGCTATAAAAAATTAAGCTGCATGAGTCTGCATAAAGATTTCAGAGAGAAAGCAGAAGCTGTGATGTGTTATATAATTGTTAAATATAGAACATATTTATGGTACAATTTGCATTAGTGTTAATAGAGCAGCGTTTCTTTTTCGTCCAAAACAAAATGGTTTCCCACCAAATTCTGTGTAGCGTATTTGGAGCCTACCTGGAGGTTATTTCATGTGTTGGGAGCGGGGAGGGAGTGGGAAGCTTGGATTTGATATCAGAAGTCGACAAACAGCTGCTACAGGAATTCAGGTCGCCCCGGTCCAGAAACAAAACAAAGCAGAAGAATTGTCTAAACCATCAGACGAGAATTAAAAGGAACATCTCGGTCACTCCGACATCAAAGAAAAATTATTTGGCTAGTGTACTTGATCTCTTCTTCGATGTTATCACGAATTTTACTTAAAAAAAAAGTGTACCAAATCTTTCTTTGGAAACTTTTTAGAGAAGTATTTCGCTTTTTCTTCCATTTATGTAGTTTTCTTTTTTTGAGTATCTTATGCGGCAATATAATTTTTAATTGTAAATTCGTTATTGGGATTCATTTCGCACACTAAGCCCTTAAATTTTAAAAATTTGGTATTGCAATGATATTAGCTGTTTCCTTATAAGGAAACAGTCTACATTCATTGGCCGAGCAGCTACTATTACTGTCGGTTGAAATTCATCATTTTTTTCTATTAAAACAATTTTTCAGTTTCTTAAGTCTACTAACTATTAATTTTTTTTCGTTTTACGGTATTGATGGGGGTTTCCTTCCTAACCTTTTGTTTGTAGTAATGTGGAACGTCAACATTTTGTTTATGTCATTATTTTCTTTTCGTGTTACATGTGCATATCTATTTCAGTTGTAGCTTCTAGTGAATGACCTGTTAGTTTGTACAATTCTTAGTTTGTGATTCTGTAGCGCTAGTCCACGAAGTTCTTAGAAGGGTGGTCGCACACTAAAATCTACAGAATTCATTTTCTAGAACTATTTTCAATCATTGATCTTAGAAAGAGGCTGTACACTGAGCGGGAGCTGACAGTTTAGATATTTCTGAACGGTTTTAGCAACATATATGATAGCCATATGAAAATCGCGATCTGACGAGGCTATTTAAGAACACGATTCGAGTTTTGGGTTTATAGCAATTTGAGGTATTGCAAAGAACTACAAGGCGCAACCTATTCTATGTTCAGTTTCTACTAAATTGGTTGTAACCGATTCGTATGCCGAGGTATTTGAAACGTTTAGTATTTCTTAATGGCACACCTTGATTATTTTTTTTTATGGATGCAACAGCGGGCTATATCCAAATAGACAACACTGTATTTTAATCTCTAAATGTGTATTTTATAGGAAGATGTGGAGAGACATGATCAACTAGGTCCAGAAGGGATATGGCACATAGAAGTACAAGCAGAAAGGATTATTTACATTATTTTTACATAAATATGTTACTTGGTCTAATCAGAAATGATACAAAAGATGCTCCTAATTTTAACTGCTCTTATTATATATATATATATATAGAAAAAGTTGCAAATTAAAAAATAATAATGTTTTAATTTGCAACTTTTTCTATATATACATATTAAGAAAGTATACGAGGCTTCTCATTATGCTATATATATATATATATATATATATATATATATATATATAGTATATAGTATGTGTATGTATATATATATATATATATATATATATATATATATATATATATATATATATATATATTTATATATATATATATATATATATATATATATATATATATATTGATATATATATATATATATATATATATATATTGTATATATATATATATATATATATATATATATATATGTGTGTGTGTGTGTGTGTGTGTGTGTGTGTTATTTAGTTGCATTGATGTGAGTTTGTGAACCTGGGATTCACGCCCTTGCGCTCATTACAAATTATATAAGTAGATAGATTCACGGTCCTCCCCGATCTTTTGACGAGGAGTAGAGGTTTATCCTTGTTCCCTGTTTAGGATTAGGTTTCCCGGTTCCTTCTAAGTTCTTTTCATTCTCTTTCACCCCAGTAGACGTCTTAGTGGTATTATCGCCTTGCATATATATGAATATATACAGGATGCGACGGGTAAATTGTCGACATTTTATATTTTTAATTTCGCGCATGCGCGTTGTTTGTTTTTGATTTTGTCGACTGCACAGGATAATAGGGTCTGCTGGGCACCTTCTCTAAGAAAAAAAACTACTATGACCTAATTCACTCCACCAGAAATTTGGAAACTGCACGCTGTACTGTTTTGGTATTCACGTCGGAAGCTCCGATACGAACATTTCGAAGTGTTTGGGTGTCAATCTGAGGAGAGTGCAGGGGATTCGTAAAGAGTTGGATGATATATCCAGTCAACATTAGTAGTGATGGCGATTGTATTCCTCCATTCATCTTCCGACATGGCCTCAGACTGAACACGGAGGTCTACATCATGTGCCTTGAGGAGGTAGTGTTCCCTGGGTCAAGAGGGTGGCTGCTAGAAGAAACTATGGCTGGCAATAGGACTCTGCACCATGCCACACAAGCAGAAGCACCCAGTAATGGCTATCAGACAATTTCTGCGACATCTCCCTTTACATCTGGCCGCCTAACTCTCCAGACTGCAACCCCTTTCATTATTATGTGGAGCGCAGTTGAACTAGATGCCAACAAAACCACTAGTAGCACCAAAGATTAACTGAAGTCAATGATTATGGCAGCATTCACCGAATTGAACAAGAAGAGCTACCAGAAGAGATGCAAGAGATTCCGAAGTTGTCTGTAAGCCGTGGTTGAAGTCAATGGCGATTTTTAGAATAAATTTACTCTTTTGTATTTTAAGATATTTTTCGTCTAAATTGCGCATAATATATTAACAATGAGATGTCATATATCTGTTATTTTCATTTGTGCGCAATTTAGACGACAATTTATCAATCGCAACTATATATATATATATATATATATATATATAGGCATAATTTCAATCGCATCCCATATATATATATATATATATATATATATATATATATATATATGATATGATAAATTGTCGCCTAAATTGTGCAAAAATGAAAAACAACACTGGCATCTCATCTTGTCAGACATATAGGCGACAATTTATCAATCGCAGCCCATTTTATATGGGTTGCGATTGATAAATTGTCGCCTATATATATATATATATATATATATATATATATATATATATATATATAATTGAAAAGTGGGTTTGTTTTTGAAGTTACACAAATATTAGCTTATAAAATATCAATCTTGATAAACAAAATCCAGAAAACAGACAAAATTTCAAGGGAAATCAACGACGTCTGACAAAAAAAAAGAAAGAAAACTTTTGTGAGGAAGAGAGAGAAATAAAAACGTTGTTAACAAGAAAAACAAACAATGGTTACATTTGAAGGTTATTAATGGTAAGATTATGTATGTAAGCCGAAGCTGAAAAAAAAATTACAGGGGAGAATGAAACACGTGCACGTAAAACACGAAACCTTGCTGAGAAAATTAATAGTATAAAAAAAAAAAAACGAAAAAATAATCATTTATAAATAGTTGTTCTACAGAACAAAAAAAAAAATAATTCAGGGATGTAATAAAAAAAGCAAGTCTGAAAAAAAAGTGATTTGTAAAAAAAAGTATAAACGATATAGGGGCTTTATTAACAACAAAAAAAAAAAAAAACTTGCAGATGAAACAGGGAAAGAACCCTGGCAGAAGATGGTGCTAAAAGGTGAAGTCGCTTAAATAAAAAAAAAAAATATTGGGTAAGTAATGGGTACGTAAAGGAAGCTATACAAAGAATTCGGGGGTAAGAGAGAATTACAGGGAGAATAATAAATAACGATAAAGAAGTTACTGAAATAAAAATGGTAATTGTAGTGTTAGCAAGTTCCCTTATAAGGAAACATTCGACATTCATTCACCGAGCAGCCAGTATTCCTGTTGTTTGAAATTTATAAAATCTTTCTCTTAAAATAATTTTCTCAGGAAAATAAGTTTCTCAAGTCCAGTAACTGTTATCGCTCTTTCCGGTACTGGTGGGGTTTTCCTTCCTAAACTTTTACTTGAAATAAGGCTAACGGCTACATCACGTTGAAACACCAGTTCCCGTACGATCACCAAAGTTAAGCAACGTTTAGCTTGGTCAGTTGATGGGTGACTGCTTGGGAATACCAAGTGTTTTAAGCATGCATATGCGGGTTAAGTAATAGATGACGGATCAGAATTCGAAGTCTGAGAGCCGAGTTGCCGTTGCGTTCGTTATATTCGCTTACGCTTGGGAAGGATATGAATTCGCCTCTTCTCTCCATTATCAGCAGGACTTGTTTCATTAATATCAATATTATCTCCCCAAATATCTTAATATAATTTCTGGCTTTATATAAACCTCAAAAGGTTGATAAGGTGTAAAAAATACGAATCATTCAATTATTGTAATTAATCTTCTACATGTTGGTTTTGGACCTCTTTTTGTCGCTGGGCACTGGACGGTATGTCGACAGGCTTGTTCGTAACATGTGCATATCCTTATTAAAAAAATTAATTTGGGTGTTCACCTTTTCAGTAATGCCAATATCACAATCATTACTTACATCCCTAAATACCAGAATATAATTTTTAATTCCTTATTGGCTGTGTTCTTAATTTCTCAGAAAGCTTAAAGAGTTTATATGTGCATTGCACTTGAAATACTGAAATTATATATATATATATATATATATATATGTGTGTGTGTGTGTGTGTGTGTATCTATGTATATATAATATATGTGTGTGAGTGTGAGTGTGTGTTCGTGTGTGTATTTGCTCTATATATTTTTAATATATTATATATGCGCAGTACTTATTGGAAAGCGTTCAATATCGGTGATAGAGCTAACATACTTAGTTGTATTGATGTGAGTTTGTGACCCTGGCGTCCATGCCCTTGTGATCGTCAAACTAACCCCAGGGCTACACATATAACAGTTATTCTTTTGTTTATTTTTCGTTGTTTTCCAATCTTTCACTTTTTTCAGCAAAAGTTCTTTTTTCATTCTTTCTTCATTTTTTTCTTTATTTGTTTCTTATTTTCCTTCATTTCCTTCTGTCTTTCATTTTTCTTTCTTTTTTTCTTCTTTTTACTAAATAATTTGTGTACTTCAATACTTCATTTTTTTTCTTACTTTCCTTCATTCTTTCTTGCTTTCCTTCATTTTCTGTCTTTTTTTCGTTTATTCTTTCTTTCTTCCTTACTTTCTTTCATTCTTTCCATTCTGCTCTGTTAGCTATTTCTTTTTTTCTTTTAGCTAAATAATATATGTACCTCAATACGTCAATTATTTTTCTTTCCTTCATTCCTTCTTACTATCTTTCATTCTTCTTTCTTTCTTTCTTTCTTTCCTTCCTTTCTTCTTTTCCTTTTTCATTTTTTCTTTATTTCTTTCATTCTTTTTCTTTTAGCTAAATAATTTCTGTATTTTAATCCTTTTTCTTTTCTTCATTCTTTCTTACCTTCATTCATATTATCATTCTTATTTTCCTTCATTTCTTCTTCCTTCTTTCCTACTTTCTGTTTCATTTTTTCTTTCGTTCTTTCCTTTTCTTTTTTAGCTAAATAATTTACGTACTTCAATACTTTCTTTCCTGTTTTCTTTCTCGTTTTCCTTCAATCTTTCTTTCTTCCTTACCTTCCTCTATTACTTTCTTTCATTGTTTCTTTCTTTTTTCTTTTAGCTAAATAATTTTTGCATTTCACTATTTCAATTATTTCTTCCTTTCCTTTATTCTTTCTTACTTTCCTTCATTCTATCTTTCATTCTTTCTTGCCAGAGAGTACTTTTTTTTTTTATTAAGTTGTCGTGAATGCGTGACAGATAAATACAATATACACTGTTTAAAATAAAATAAAATGAGTGGTCTATTTCTAACTAGACAAGAGGGGAAGGAAATGAAATAACTGACCTCTTTCTAGCTTCGGCAGGTTGTGAAGCTATAATGAAAATTTTTGTCATGGCATGCCCCTAAAATTGGATAACTTAACGAAATTTTAGAAATTATAAAAACAAACTTACGGCCTAAAAAGAAATTTATGATAGCGGAAAGAACCAAATTTCTGTGCCTTAAAAAGAAACGAAATGAATCAATTATGCAATATCATCACAGATTAAGAGAATTTAGCAGATTCTACGAATGGAAGTAACTTGGAACTCAAGATTTAACTACCGATGATGAATTAATTCAAATACAGTTAATTGAAAGTATGGGTGATACATTTCATAAATTTAAGTTACTGAAACAATTACAAGTGAATAATTTATCTCTAGCTGAATGTATGGAAGTTGACTACTGATCACGTGTCGTAGAACAACACAATACCACATCTATATATGGTGGACCCCCCGTCGTATTCCTAGGAACCGACAGCGCAGACACCAGAATATATAATTTGATTATAGTGGTGAAGGCTTTGTGCAGGGCTATCCACATTTTTTGAAGGGCCGAATACAAAGACCTAGTGAACTACGTACCACAAGGTCACAAAACCCTCCGCAGGTTTTGAATTCAGAGTTGTCCTTCTAGATCATTTGCCATCCGAGGCTAGAGAACCCAGTCTATCCTGCTATTTAGCCATATCTGGAGGGAGAAGATGAGTAATACCTTTCCCAAGGGTATTAGTGAATGTACTGGATTCGACTGGAATTCGAACTCTGAAAAAATACTGAAAAAAGAAAGAGAAGAAAAGGCATAAGCGCAGACTTATCTACTCGGTAAAGTGCTCGAAGCCTAGATTGCCTAAACCAAGCAAAAAAAAAAAAAACGCTTGTCAACGTTAAATCCTATGAAAGGATGGCTCTAGTCGTAACTCGAGTTTCACGCTTACACGATCTTCAGACGACTTGAACGTTGAAGATTATATCTATCAGGAAAACAAGTAACAGACGGGAGGTGCGAGACATGAAGCTATTGGAACAGTAGAGACGTTTACATTTAACAGTTTCGACATTGAAAGGGTGGGACCGAGATGCCAGCCTAGTAGCACGTCTAAATTCATGCAGTCTGGAAAGTAGCTCGTCGGAGCAGTTACCATAAAAGTATTTGTAGAAAAGACAGAGGGAGGCAACGAGATGTCTGTGAGAGAGCGACTGTAGACGAGATGCCAGATCAGAGCCAAATACATTGCACATTTGTCTCTGGATTTCGTCGAGGACATTAAGTCGAAGAGCGGGGTCAGCAGACCATATATGGCAGCAGTATTCCATGCAAGGGCGAATGCTTGATTATAGATTTGAAGGATGGACTCTGTCGAGAAAAATTTTCAGGCGCCACACAGGGAACCAACTTTCCTTGCAGTGGATGAAGCTATTGATTCAATACATTAGTTCCATCTCAGGTCATATATATATATATATATATATATATATATATATATATATATATATATATATATATATATATAGAAAGAGACACAAGCAGAAAAATATTATTTAAATATCCAATCGTAAATATGCATATTTTCTGTTAATGACATTCCACGGCACAAGATTAAGTGATAAAGAAATATTCGCACTGTGGACATTGTTTAATTTGACACAAAAGTCTGCCACCTAGTGAGAATGAAACTTAATACTTGATGAATTTATACGTTACTTGCTGAACACACATTAGACGCTTGATCTTATTTTATGTACCATGTCCCGTCAGGACGTGGGTGGTCATGGTTCTCTGCAATTTACTCTCCGAAATCGCTCTATGCAACTTTTGCTAGTTTAACATTTCTTTATCTCAGCTCCGGTATCCACTCACACAAAATTATTAGCAAAGTGAGTAGCTGTCTTTCCTTCAATGAGTCCTGTGAGTGTTAAAATTGCCCAACTGCCTACCATGAATAGAAATATTAACTGTGACATTCTGGTTTTAATCTGTGTCCTTTTTGTTGCAATTTTCTTCAAATCTACTTCGTTGCTCACATGCTTCGTCCATGGTATTCTCAACATCATTCTATAGAACCACATTCTTGTCATTTCGACCTTCTTTTTGATTTCTGAAAAAATTGTGTAGGATTGACAGGCACTCGATACATGATTATATATGTATTTGAGGATGTACTCAAAAATCCTTGACCTGCTCAAGAACTATACCAAAGTAATATGCTTTGAGGGTGAGAGTCGGTCCAAGAAATTTTAGCTCAGCCTAATTTATATTTTTATATCGTTGCGTTTTTTTATTTTCTTTACTTTTTCATTCATTCTTAATTTCTTTCCTGTCTTAATTTTCTACTTTCTTTCTTTTTGTTTTCTTTCTTTCTTTCTATGATTTTTTTGTCTTCCTTTCTTTACTTTTTCTTTCATCCATTTTGTTTCCTTCTTTTATCTTTTTCTTTCATTCCTTCTTTCTCTCTTCCCTTTCTTCATTCGTACCTTCTTTTTATTTTCTTTCTTTTTTCTTTCTATATTTCTTTCTTTTTTTTACATTATTTATTTCTTTATTCTTTTTCTTTGCTTTTTCTTTCATTCATTTTTATTCCTTCCTTTGATACATAATTCCTACATTCGCTATTCTTTCTTTGTTATTTCTTTATTTTTTTAATTTTTTCATTCATTACTTTTTCTTTCTTTCTTTCTTTTTTCTTTCTTTCCATTTTTCTTTCATACATTGTTTCTTTATTTCTTTTCTTTCTCATTTCTTTCTTTTCTCATTCTTTCTTTCTCTCTTTATTCTTTCTTTCTTTTTCATTCATTATATTTCTGTTTCCCTCCTTTCTTCCTTCCTTCCCTCCTTCCTTCATTCATTCATTCATTCCTACCTTACTACTTTATTCTTTCTCACTCTCTTTCTTTATTTTCTTTCTTTCTGATAGCTCCCATTTTTTAAAAGAAAATCTCTATCTCCCAATCTTTCTCTGTGTCTCATTCGTACCCACATATCTTATCACGCTTTCATACAGTTCTAACATTTGGTTTGTTCTTCGCTTCTCCACCACTCGTCCACCCCTGCAACTCTTTCCCCACCCATATCTACCGCATTTGGACGCCCATCCACACCCACAGCCATCACAGAAAAGAAGCTGCAACTGACTTGTGCAAAGGTTTAAGACTGCAAAGGTGATGCACCGAAAGTAGAAGCGGATTATTCCATGCGTCCGCTTGAACGGCTCTCAGGGGCAGGCAAACCAGCGGAAAGCGAACGAGCGGCCGACCGAC